GGTCTCTCTTTTGCATCGGAACAGCCACTCAAATAAGTGTGATTGTCTCCAACCAACTTTTCCAGTTTTTTGCTACTCCGTTTTCAAAATCTAACATCAAGTTGTATTTAAACTAGTTAACCATTCGTCAATATTTGCGGAGGGAAATGACAAACTTATCACAGGTTTGGCTTGGTTCTTGTTATGTACAAAACTAAACAAACGGTTGTCTGTGCTCTGCCCACCACGGGTATCAAAACCATATTGTTAGCGTCATAATCCTGCAGATTTAACGTTGAGCCATACCACATAATTTTTAGTTTTGAAGTACCTTTACCAAATTTTTGTATTTCATTTTTATTTCACTCTCCCCGGTTGAGAAAATAAACTCTCTTCATATTTCAGGTTAACTTCTATTTATAGTTTGAGTATCTATGACTTTTTGTCATATTTCTCTTGATAAGTCCATTAGCAGTCAACAACTGGCAGGTTATACGGCATGGTGAATCAAAATGTGGTATTTACTTGCAAGATGTCATCATGTTCTTGTGTTTACAGATACTCAACGAGTTCGAACATTAAAGAAGAAATACAGTTTCCTCATATGTCAGCAGTATCAACAAACCAAAATGTTCCCCATTAAAATGATTGGCGAGGATCAAACGAGTAAATTCCATAACTGGCAAAGCATAACACGCATCACGTTATAATCGTATCGGTACTAGGATACCTTAAGTGTTTGCTATGCAGTGAATTAATGTGTACTGAAGAAAAAGAAATAAAAATACCATGACTGACTAAAGAATTTGACCATTGATTAAATAGTTTGTGGTGTTAGAAAAAAATGTGAGAAAAGCTTGCCTTTTCAAACCGCCTGAAGATCTTTTATAACTAACTATATAGTTTAGTAAGAGAAAATGATTGAGTTATGGTGATCCAACTCGTTTTAATAGAAGTGTGGAAGACAAACAAGAGGGAATGTTCAATAGCAGCGGCTGTAATAAGATCTCAAATCGGCCAAGAGGTGGAGTTATGAGATAAAAGAACCATCCTATGAGCCGCGGCTAACAATATGACTTACTTCACGCAATGTGACACAGCGAAAAGGTCTATTATGAAAACCTGATGCAACATGTATTTAACCTTGTCAATTCCGAATCACCGATCACAGGGAGACAGCCTGCTACCTGCGAGTAGCAACCACTTTTACTATATTTATTGTAGTGTGTCTCTTTGTTAGTATTATTATTTTCAACACGAAGTACCCAACGCATATAAGGTAATTTTAATACTATTACTTCTATTACTACCACAAGCTGGAGGAAATTGACACATGCCTTGGCACTGTCTATTCTACCTCCAATATTCTTCTTGTTTTAGTAATAAAAAAGATGAATATGTGATTTTGATTTTTGAAAAAAAAAAAGTATACATATACACATTGGAACCTCATACTATAATTCTTATCTTACGTTTAGATTATTTGCGTACATTCCTTCCTTAACTTGAATGCCCATTCTCCTGTGAAAACAACGCTTTGTCCAGAAAACTTTGTTGTCTATACATAAGTTAGTGGTGGAAGGATATGTTGATACTTTAACATGGAATAATATTAAATGCATTATACCAAACTTGTAATGAAAACCGGCGATAGAAAAACGTATTTTGTTGTTGTTGTTGTTCTATTTCTCGTAATCAGTTGATGGCGCGAAAACAGTTTATTGAATTCATTACATGTTTGATATGTAAGTACGCGGCATTTTCAATATTCGGAACAGAGGAATGAGTGCCAAATAGAAAACAAAATAAGCGAGAATTCAGTAAACTGTTACTAAGTAAACATATTATTGTGAAAATGTTAATGCTCGGGTCTAAGTTGGAATAAAGAAATAAAACAAAACAAGTATTTTAATTAGATCAAAAGAAGAACAAACAAAAACACACTATTACTTAGAACAGCGGTCTTCAAACTATTTTGTTTGCTGACCACCTGAACTTTCTTATCTCCATGGGCCATAGTAGGATCTACATACTATACGTGATTATGTGACCTTTCCACAAACCTCTGCTGTCTTAGAAAGTTCGAAAAATAATTCATCTACTAAAAAATTCTACTTTTTAAAAACGTTTTGGTGATGACGTAATCTAAAGTTTTGTTTCTCTTCGAAATAATAGTTTGTTATTAAGCACGAAGCTACACAGTGGGTTATATGTACTCTGCTCACCAGGGGTATCGAATCCCAGTTTTTATCTGCGACAGTAGCCGACTCGAGACAATAGATACAATGTACTATTCTTACAAGTTTTTAATGGGATTACATGATGCCCGTGTTCATGATTTTAAACTTTATTTGAAAAGTATTGAAAATAAATGTTTAGATCTCATTAAATACTTTTCTGATTCATTTTAATTGTAGAACATTTCCTTCTAAGTTCATTTATTTGGGAAGCCTTCAACAAGTTTGGGAAATTCCTAAAAAGAACCTATGGAAAAATTTCGGAGGGCTGGGTGTTGTTTAGTTGTTAGCGTATCGATATGTTTGGGGTTCGAGAAGTGAAAACTCTCCAGACTTTCATCTGTGTGTTTACGTTATAAACATTACAGTAAACCTTGTTATTTGATTCAAACAACTGGACAAAGAAAGCTTTCGTGACTTAGATGCTGACTAGCTACCTTCCCTCTGGTCAAAAGCTCAAAATAGAGGTTCCTTAACAGGCCGATTAGCTCACGTACATATAAAATGCCGTTAAAGTTGAAGAATCTAACCGCTACATTTCAGAAGTATAAGTATAAGTTTAATTTTAAAACAATATATTTATTCTGTTGGCGTAATATGCGTAGAATGTCGTTGTATCTTATTGTAGAATTGGAAGCTGACTCTCATAGACGTATTATTGTACTATTGATAATTAAATTGTATAGTGTGAATTACGTTGCCAATGATTTAATGAAACATTACCAAACATACCACTTCAAACACTTAATGGTGACAAAGTTTTTTCTTTTGTTCTTTGCATTTCCTGTTCTTATCAGTCGACTATACAAACCCTGTTCAGCGGATTTCCTACATCCTCTGTACATTTACTATCAACACAAGTTTTTTGCTTGTTTGTTTGTTTTGAATTCGCCCAAAGCTACACGAGGGCTATCTGCGCAAGCCGTCCCTAATTTAGCAGTGAAAGACTAGAAGGAAGGCAGCCAGTCATCACCACCCACTGCCACTCCTGGGCTACTCTTTTACCAACGAATAGTGGGATTGACTGTAACATTATAACGCCCCCACGGCTGAAAGGGCGAGCATGTTTGATGGGACGGGTAGTCGAACTCGCGACCCTCAGATTGCGAATCAAGCGCCCTAACTACCTGGCCATGCATCACAAAAGTAAAGGTCTAGTAAAGCCTGGTAGTTAGGACATTCGAATTGTAATCTGTTGGTCGCGAGTTCGAATCCCGTCATTGAACATGCTCGTCATTTCAGCATGGAGGCGTTATAATGTGACGTTCATTCTCATTTTTCGTTAGTAACCCAAAAGATGGCGGTTGGTGATGTTGACTATTTGCTTTCCTTCTAAATTAGGAACGGCTAGCACAGATAGTCCTCGAGTAACTTTGCCCGAAATTTCAAATACAACCAAACAAATTACAAAAGTATCGCAATTGTAAAAAGAAATACATGAAAATTGAATGTATTCTCATTTCGTCGATATAGTTTTTTTTCTAAAAAAAGACGCAATAATGTGTTAATGTTTCACATTATTATATCGATAAATATAATAAGATTGAGTTAAATTATCGTATTAGTAAAAACAAATACATAATGCATCATTGTAACTTATTGAAAGTTAGCTTATGAAAGTTTATATAACTATTCCATAAACTACAGTTGATAATTTTATCTCTACAGGGATAATGGTGACCCAGTTATTAGCTTGCAGAACTGTGGATATGAATGGGTTGCGTCCCGTTACCGCCGAAACAAAATCACACTTCTGTGACTGTGGGTGGTTTATAAGAGTGGCGGTCAAATTCCACTATTTGGTTTAACAAGTGTAGCCTGAGATTTAGCGGTAAGTGGTGTTGACTAGCTGTCTTCTCTCGAGTCTATGACTTCAACATTGGAGACTGCTAGCGCGAAATGCAACAAAACAAACAAATTCTCTATACATCCGGAATACTCAAATTCGGTGACGAGGAACCCACTTTGAGACTAATAATGGCTGGAGACGGCTTGAATGGGTAATGAAGAAAATTGCTTATGTGCGCCATAGTTCAAATACGGCTATCATTCACCTTTCTATAGCTAGAGAATAACATACCTTTGTTCCGGCTAAATATTTGAATATTTTTTGTGCAGGTTCTCTGCATTTAAACTATCGGGTCGTGTCAAACTACCTGGTAGGGTTCGAGATGTAATGCCACTGAATAATTCTGCACTTCCAGCTGTGGGTGAATAATGAAATTTACAGTCAATCCCGTTGTTCGCTTCCAAGAGACAAATAAAACCCTTGTGGCGGCAAGTGCTGGTCAATAGTTCAAAATTAGGGACGGCTCTATCTAAACTTTAGGGTTTCTGACCTGACTGTTTAGCCCATGTGCATATAACCTGATTTTTAGGCTGAAAACTACAGTTCCAGTCCTGCATTTATTTAGTTAACGTCCCCCTGTCAAAGACTCTATATCGCTCAAAAAGTTCACTCAATCCCAAAAGTTTGGCCTGGCATGGCCTGATGGTAAGGGCGCTCGATTCGCACTCTGAGGATTACGGGTTCCTGTTCCCATTACCGAACATAGTATGACGGCCAATATTACTATTCGTTGTAAAAAGAGTAGCCCAAGAGTTGGCGGTAGGTGGTGATGACTAGTGGCCTTCCCTCTAGTCACACGCTGCTAAATTAGGGACGGCTAGCGCAGATAGCCCTCGTGTAGCTTTGCGCGAAATTTAAAAAAACAAACAAAGCATCTCACCTAGCGGCAGATTTGATGAAAAGCATCAATGCTGCTGACTGCTGCTCAAGCAGTCTGCCATATCAAGAGCCTATGCACGTATACACACAACATGCTTGTTATTCATAAGAACAACAGCTGACAGAGTGAGTAACATATTCTCAGTTTCGGTTTATGTGTATAATGAACGTACTAATTATTGCTTGCAATAAGTCTACCTCATTTTAAATCACGAGGATTACTTTATGTCTTCCCAATATTTGTTACTTCCCCCGAATTTCGCTACGCACTTTATTTTCTTAGCAGTTCACCATTTCGACAAATTAGACCTGCATTACAATTAAATGGTGACATCGTAAAATATGCATTATCAACAGGGATATAACTTTCACAGTAGTTGTTGTGTACTCAAACAGTGTTCTAGTATTACTTGTGCTTAATGCACGTGAGGTGTGTAAAAAAAAAGGAGCCAGATGTAGAGCAGGAAAATGTCACGAGTATTTTGTCACTAGCTTCTCTCGGAGGTCAGATTGCACTGTGCCCTAAAAAATCTAAATTATTCTAAATCTTTAAGCTGACTGGGCAAGAAACATTAAACCATTTGTAAACAGAGTGAGTATTAGTTTTATATCTTATTATTTTAAATGTTGCCCCCCCAGTGGTATAGCGGTGTGTTTGCGGACTTACAACGCTAGAATCCGGATTTCGATACCCGTGGTGGACAGAACACAGATAGCCCATTGTGTAGCTTTGTGCTTAATTACAAACAGATAAAATAAACAATTTGAAATGTTCCGAACTAATGCTAAGAGGTTAATTTTTATTTCATGATTTATTCTGAAGAACTTATTTTACAGGTTAGAATAGAAGTAATGCAGTCTTATTTCCATAATCTCTTCATTTACGTTTCTAAGATAACGAGAGGCACTAAAATAGATCAAAATTATGCGTAAAAATAAGAACATAACTAAGTATGAATCGAACTAGAAAATAGCGTAATATAGAAGTTGGCAATAATGACGAAACACACGAAATGGACAGGAAAATACAAGGTGTTTTTTGTTTTGTTTTGTTTTTACAGAAAATACAAACACTACACAAATAGGAACACTTATCGGAAATCAACTTAATGAACTTGTAGATGCGGGTTTCATAATGAAAAGTATACAAGTAGATTGCACAAAGACGGTTCATTTAGAATAAGGAACAAAAGCAAAGCAGTGACGTCTGTTGGATGAAGAGAGAACTTCAACGTGGAAGTGGAAGTTCACATTTCGAAAGAACTACTAACTACATTTGTTTTTATTTCGTATCTTACTTCATCAACAAACTTATATTGGCTAGTTTCTCGTGGGATATTCAGTACTTACATTTACTTCTATTATTAGGCCAACTTCTACTGACCGCAACGTTTCAACGTTAACTTTGATTTTAACATACTACTTGTTTACTCAAGCTCTTGGCCTTATTTTTACCCCCATACCTTTTAATCTACTCGTCTTTTCACAGCCTGATTTTTGTTAATCTTCTCTAACGAAAACTCCCTCTTTTCGACAGAAACTCCTAAGTGTATAGGCATTTACTTTAATCTATTGCCTTTAGTAAGTCCCCCGGTGGGACAGCGGTAAATCTACTGACTTACAACGCTAAATTCCGGTAAATCTACGAACTTACAACGCTAAATTCGGGGGTTCGATTTCCTGCGATGGGCATATCAGATAGCATAATGTGGATTTGCTCTAAAACAACCAAACAAATGTTTGTCTATAGATAGAAAACACATTGTGTTATCCAAGAGGGAGCATACTTATGTTAGCAGATAGAATATATATATATATATATAAAGCTGCCCATTATAGAGGTAGAAGCATCCTTTGGCACTAAACATTTTATACCACTTTTTCCATCAATTTAACTGTTCATAATTCCTGTTCTTGGGATGCATATTCAATAAACAGAAGTAATAATAAGTATTATTATTAAATATTCTTGTCAAAAATGCAATAATAAACCATTGAAATATTCATTGGGTGCTTGTCTGTCTAAAGAACTGTCTATATAAAATAGCGAAAGGGCTATCATACCCATTCTGATAAATAACGATTATTCCAGTAGTCAAGAGTCTTCTCCAGATTGTGTCTATTTTTTTAATTTTATGAAACTTTAATCTGAAATTTATAATGACAAAGTACGAATATTAATATTCCTGAAAAGATATATTGTTTTAATATTATTTTTGATAAAGTACCATTTTACGTTTAATTACACTTTTTAGAATTTGTGTAGGGCTGTTCCGAATACTACTTGTACGATAACATAGGCCAGTTTAGTAACAAATTTAAAATAACTCTTTAAAGGGAGCTTTTACTACACAGAAAAAATTATAATATTTATATCACATCATTGTTTTCCGGTCCATTACGGGTTTTCAAAAATAACACATTTCACATAAACCATTTCTGTTGTACGTCGCTGCTAACGTCATTTTTCGCACAATACAAGAGTTCTAAGGCGACAAGAGCTACAACGTAGAAATGATTAGTTGTAACGTTACTTATATCACTCGTTACGAAGGATCAAGTTAAATGGTTTATAACATTGCTTATTTATTTTTTATGTTACAACAGTAGTCAAAAATGTATATCGTTTACATTAATATAGCGATTCTCAGAGACAGATAAAATGTAGCAAATAACACAAGTAGAAGTTTAATGTAAAATAAATTTTGATTATGTTCTGATACCATCTAAGCTTTTGTGTCAAAAACAAACAAATTATCGTCTATATGAGAATCTACTTTTATTAAATATAATATACGTATATGTAATACATCACGACTTTTAGCCATCTAACGCACTCGCAAGTACGTGATAAACATAAATATTGGTATGGTGTGAATGTCTTTTACTGACGAAGTGTGTTTATAATAAGTTATTTTTGTTATAAGAAAACAGTATTAGATGTATTGTATTTTTAAATATTTTATAATTTTTTTACTTTATTAGGATTTTTCGAGAAGTAAAATAATATTTCAACCATACTATGCCTGCCATATCCATTTCAAACGACATGTTTCGTTCAACACTACAGCTCATCAGGTCTGCTAGGTTTTCAATACACACAGTAGTGGCCGGAATACAAGTCTTATATATATATATATATATATCATACATTTTCTATTCTGTCAAATGTCATACATAAATACCGGTCTAACTTTTACTGTGTTAAGCTTTTATTAGTTTACTGTGTCTAGTTTAGGCATATTTGAAGGTGTTGTACGCGGCAATAAAGCTGTTGTGTACCATTACAGTACTATACAGAATGAACACCAACTAGCTTTCATAAAGTTGATAGTAAAATTCAAAGCATGAAATCTAAGACTTCGAAACTTCTCTTGGAGATTTATTGTTAACTGCACTTTTATACAACGAAACTTTAAGTGTGACACTTTATTTAATGCAGTCAGGGTAACTTTGGGATATTTCCATTGTATTGTTGATTTTGTTATCTGTATCGTATGTGGTCGTACATGGTGTTCAAATTCTTTGTAAATCGTTTCGTATTATTAGGAGACGCAGAAGTGATTCCTTTATATTGTTGATGTTTATATACTGCTGTGGTATGCTTAAAACTTAAAATTTGATAACTTAAAGTAAGATATTTCCATGCATTTTGTTTATTGTTTAGTAAATATGCGAAATGATGGCTTCCAACGTTAGCCCATCATGAATGCCCAATAACCAACCACTAAACATTCGTCAGGTAAAATATTCTACGAAAACTGAAACACTTTGCTTTCTCTTTCACATGAGAGCCCCCCCCCAGTAGCACAGCGGTATGTCTGCGGACTTACAACGCTAGAAACCGGGTTTCGATACCCGTGGTGGGCAGAGCACAGATAGCCCTTTGTGTAGCTTTGTGCTTAACTACAAACAAACAAACTTTCACATGAGTAAATCTCTTCACCAGGGGTCGATAAAATCATGTTTGTTTGTTTGTTTTAAATTACGCGCAAAGCTACACGAGGGCTATCTGCGCTAACCATCCCTAAT